TGTCAGTGATTGTTTTCACCGATGCTTGGTGAACTCGGCATTGGTGTTGAAGTCAGCGTTTTTTTCACAGGTACACTTTTTAGTTGCCAGCATAATACGGGCACGTTTCTCGAGTGGTTCATCCCTGTTGAAGTTGTTTTCTTACCAGTGCTCTATTTATTGTTTGAAACATTCCTCCTAATGCCCACAGCATCATCATCATCATCTTAAGGGGAAGAAGGGGTAATAGTAACATAGACGCAGTAGCCCTATGCTCAGCAGCAATGTTTACTGAAGGAAGAAAGCTCAACAAAATATGTTCGTCCCGCACCCGCCATTGGTTCAAATGTAGCACGATGCAATCTAGGAAATAAGAATAGTTTGTTATCTACGCCGCTTTTGTATGATTTGTTGAGAAGTGAGATGTTACCGAGAACATAGATAAGACTGTAGTATTAGCCTTGTTCCTTGTGAAAACGAGGAGAATGGAGATACAGTTAGGCTGATATTTCGGCGGCGTACCTTTATCCAAATAATAGGAGAATCGCTCGCAGAATTGGTTGAAACACTTCTGCTATTGCTTCGATAAATGAATATTGCCGAAATATCAAACTAACTTTATCTCCAGTCTCCTGGTTTTTACGAAGAATCAGGCTAATTCTATTGTCTTATCTATGTGAATGATGCTCCTCGCTAATGCACTGAACATATTACGTAATATTGCCGAGAACGATGATTTCATTTCACTGTTGGTTGTATCAGCTGTACACATTATCACTGCGTGTGACGGTAGGTCAAAGACGACTGGGAGCCACTCTAGAAGGCTGAACGACCTCCTCCAACAGGCTGCCGCTTGTTACTCCAGAGCTTGTGACGTCACAAATCCGCGGCGGCCGATGGAGTTACCTCCTCCAGCAGGCTGCGGGGTGTTTGTCCAGAGCTTGTGACGTCACAAGGTCACTGGTCGGTGACGTCACAGGCGCCTCAGTTGCAGGTCGCAGCATGCAGGCGGCTCCAGTCCGCTGGTCCCAAACATGTGACGTCATGACCCTGTTGTGTCTGTGACGTCACGGCCCGAGGCGGCCGGTTCAGGACGCCATCTGTTGGGAATCCCAGCGGACATCCCGGCGGCGGGCGGTGGCCGAGGGAATCCGTGAAAGAATACACACCAACAGGGGTCTGCGCGGCCCGTGCTGGAAATGACCATGTGTTGGGACCTGACACTCGCTAACCTAACCCAATGTAACCGGGCATGACAACACTACCTTACTGCCACAACGCACGACATCACTGAGCAAATTTTTTTCACGCTATCCGTGATGTGGACGCATCCCAGCTGAGCGTTCATTGTTGTATGCTGTGATGTCGGATGCCTTCAGTAATTCAGCGGTTTGAAGCCCTACTTTACCGTTCAAATGCCTGCGCGTGAATGGCAGGAACGTTTCTACATCATCATATTTGTTCATGTGCAGTTTAGTTTAGCGAACAATCAACAACGCAAAGGTGGTACTCTCCGGGAAAGGCCTTATCCAAGAAGCAAGTTGTGTTCGTAGTTTTACATGATTTCGTATGCATGAATACAAACATCGATGCTACTTTCCGAGATCGGTTGGGGGCGGCCTGAGCCACTAAAAATGAGTTAACCTACCGATAAATTCTGGAATATTCACGCTTTTGGCCGCTGGCATTTGCGTTCCCGATGCTGTAATTGACATCTAAAAATTGGTTGGTTGCAAAATGTTGTGATTTCAAAGAATGACGTCCCGATTTAGGCTAATATGATTATGATAATTATATATGATAATAATGATATTTATGATGATGTATTTAGGCACCTAGGGTACCAACATTTCAGACGCGAACTGCATTTCATTGGCCGATGATTCTCTTGGTCATATGCGTTGGAGGAGGGGATGGCTTGGAAGAGCGTTGCTGGTCTGAATTCAGCTTCGGGGAGGCTCAGGTCCCCCACAAAAGTGTATAATGTGACACCCCTGAATACAGACACAGCCTGGTCAGCTTTTCGCAGGCGGCAGGCTCATCTGTTAGCCGGTCAGGTGGCCGAATGCGACTCTCCGGCGCTAGGGCAGGGTATCTGAGCTGGTCTACTTTGTCACTAGGTGTGTCCGTCCTTGACCGGTAGTCCGTGTGTTGCCCGGTGCGGTCTCGTGTTCCTCGCGTCGGGCTGCGACTGTAGCCGATGTCTCCGCCGGCGCGTACAGGCGTCGTCAGCGGGTGGGAGGGCCCGCCGTACCTGGGCGGGCTCCACCGCGGCGTTGGGCGGGATGCGCCGCGTCTCACGCCTCTACAATGCCAGAGATCAGTGACGGTACTGAATTCTTCAGCTCGGGTGTGCCTCAAGCGGTGTACAACAGCTAGCGTGGTTGTTGTTTGTCTCGCAGAAAACCCGAGGTCAGCTGCTTGCTGGTCGTGAAGCTTACGATGGTTGAGGCGGCAGAGAAGTTGTTCAGGCATTAGAGTGGTTCACGTGGTTTTATTGGCAAAATATGATGTTGGCACAGATGAAGCATGAGCATGACACATCGGTTCACAATAGCGGCGTGGAGGCCTATGGCGATAACATCCCGACCTCACATGGTCAGCGGGTGACCCCATTGGCACAGGGTGACCGGCCTCACAGACGCTTCCGTCCAGCCGGCCTTACAGAGTCTTCACGCTTCTTTCTGGAGCGCGACGACGGCGAACGTGAACTCGTCCTGCTCCAGCATGCCGTCGCCGTCGGTGTCGGCGTCCTCCAGCACGTGGCGCACGTGCTCGAGCTGCCGGTGTCCACTGAGCAGCGACGGCGCCACCTCCAGGGCCTGCTGCTGCGTCAGCTGGCCGTTGCCGTCAGTGTCTTCGGCGCGGAAGGCGATGGGCACGACCTCGGCCGGCGGCGGCTCGTTGGCCGCCTGCCGGAAGTCGGCCAGGTTGACGAAGCCGTCGCCATCGCCGTCCATGAGCGAGATGGTGTGCCTCACGTCGGCGACGCTGAGGTGCGGCCCGCCGGCCCGTATGATGGGCTCGAGCTCGGCCGGCGAGAGGCGGCCGTCGCCGTCGGCGTCCGACTGGTCCAGCATGCCCTGGAACGCCTGTTGCACCTCGTCGCCGTTGAGGCTCATGGGCATGGCGGCGCCCAGCGCCCGTCTGCGGGCGGAGAAAGCGCGTGAGGATGGTGACGGTTTGGCTGTCCTCGCCGTCATCAGTAGACAGCCTCACGCGGTCAGGAAGGTCGCCAGCGAGACACGTCTGGCAATACTTAACGGCCTGCGCAAGCGAACATCAGATGCCGCTATGACGGCAGCGCTCCGTGATTTGGCTCTGACGTCACACGGTCTCACTGCCCCGCCGTGGGTTGTCCACTCACCAGGGCGATGGCGGCGATCAGCTTCAGCATTGTGCTCGACTGTGTTCGGCTGGAACGGTCAATGCAGACGCGCGGTGTGCCGGTGGGAAGGATGCTTGGCAGACGGCCGCCGCGCCCCGCCTTTATACGAATTGGCAGCCCGTCCGCCGGCAGCGGCAGCGGCGTCGTCAGGAGTTTAACGCTGGGTTCAACGTCGCCGAGAGTTCAACGCAACACGGCAAGCGGCGAGCTGATATGCCACCCGCCCCGCCGTGACCTTGTGTCATAACGTGAGCCCACCGCGGTGTCAGATGTCAGGAGACGAGGGCGGGGTCGGCGGCCGGCGTGACCTGTCGGCCCCCAGAGCGACGCCGCTGGAGCCACTACTGCGCGGCCGACTGGCCCGGCTGCGTGACGTCACACTGCAGAGCTGTGCAGGATGGCGCGTGTTGGGCACGATGATATTTTACGGCCAGCAGGCGTCGTATGCCTTATGGTCGCTTAACAACTCTTCGACGCGCGTTTTGGCTTTAGGAATGGGTGTATCACGTGGTCAATAGTGGCGCACTGGCTCAAATATTTATCAATGCGGTGCTTGATAACAGGCTGTTTTGGTCTGCTAGGTGAATCACAAACGTTCTCAACAGTCGAGATGCCACGTCGGTTGACATGACGACGGTGGTCGTGATAACGGCGGGGAAGAAGCGTGGTGCTGAAGTGTTAACAGCGAAGTTTGGACTCAAAGATAATGAATATTGACATTCCTTTATAACTTATCCTTTGATGACTGGTCTTGAGGTGCCACGAGAGTATGTTTTTGAAATATGCTCCAAAGGTGGGATACTCCATTTGAGGCAAAAGTGGAATCATCCACTCGAATATGATAACCATACGATTATGTTGAGCAGCAAATCTAAGGCACGAAAATAATCTTGACTTCCAGCTTTTTGTAATACGTGACTCATGACGATGACGTTACAACTATTGCAACACACAACCATCGCAAGGGAACAATCGGTCACAAGGCTGCTGATTGGCATTGCGTGTGGCTTTAGTAAACGGGGCTGAGAGAGCCAACACAGACTAGCGAGGAGAGCAGTGTTCCATATGTCGGAGTGCCGAGAGCCCGCAGGCTCTGGATTGGCGACAGTACACCGTTCACGTTCACATTTTTAGACATTCACTGCGCGCGCGTCTCTCCCGTTGCCGTCGCAATGCGGGCCTTCATGGGCGTGATGTTTTATATGATTCGCCCGTCTCCCATGCACGTGCTCTATCAAATCGCTACCCATGCCTATCGGCTGTGCTCACACGTTGCTCGTTTGCGTTTTTTTATTGCGATGGTTGGTATTGTGATATCTAGGAACTTTCGCGCCGTGACTCATCCTTCTGCGTCGCCAACTGCAAGCACAATGTGAATGGGGCTATTGGCGATCCCAACACGCACGGCAGCAACTTGAGGTGTTTCGTGTAGCAGCGGAGCGTTCCCAGAGCGGAACGAACACTGGGACCCCTGCCGCCGCCCAGGGAGCGAGCAGCGTGGGAAGGTCCACGGCGTGGGAGCGGGCGTCTCCTGACCTCGCATGAGCTCGCGCCACTACCACGGAGGGCGTCCGACGCGGCTCAGACGTCCGTCCGGGGGCGCTGCCGGGCCAGACGCGACGCTGCCGCCGCCGCCTGGCGCGAGATCGGGCGCGCGCTAGCGCTTGATCGTTCTATCAATACATCGTGTATTCGTTCGAAGCGGCGAAAGTATCGGGTGATTGTGAACGTCGTGTTTTCACTGGATACGACCCATCCTGACACAGGCATGACAAGGCGTGATGCTAACCACTAGTCAGTGCAACGTCACAGACAACGTACGGCGTTGCACAAAGCTGCTTGCTTCGACGGTGACTGCGATGCGAGCGGCGAGCACAACATGAGGTGAGAGCGAGGGGAGAGGGAAGGGAGGGGGCGGCGCGCCGGGTGACAGGGGCATTGCCTCGCGCTGGCTGAGGTCCGCCGCGGGCCGGCTGCCTGGCCGTTTGTACATGGGGGGCCGACACGGTCAGGTCAGCACGAGTCACCGCCAGCCAGCAGAGGTGGCCTCCGCCCGGTCGGGACTGGCGGTGGCCGGCCTCAGCCACGGACCCACGGCCGGCAGTGGTAAGCCATGACAACAGCATGTCCGTCTGATAACACTGCCAGCGGCCGTCTGGTATCTGGCGGCTGGTCCTCGGCAGCTGTCCAACAGCCGGAGCGGGCGGCTGGCGCTCGGCTGCTGTCCGGCGGCTGAAGCAGGCGGCTGGTCCTGGGCAGCTGCCAGCGGCTGGAGCGGACAGCTGCTCCTCGGCAGCTGCCGGGCGGCCGGGTCACGGCGACTCCCACGTCGTCTCCAGCTGGTCCAGTGGCCTGTCCAGCCGGTCTGGCGAGGGCTCGGGCACGTCCAGCGCGCCAGCCGCCTCCAGCGCCACCTCTGCAACGCGGCGAGGCATGACATCATACCAGGCGTGGCTCACAGGCGCCGGGCGCTTCCCACGTGCTGGCCGTGCCACCGTGCGGCCCGATCTGCAGACATGACGACTGATGTTTTGGGAAATGTTTGCTGAGGGCTCTCTGCAGCGGCTTGACTCCTCCTCACTGACACGGTACGCTGTAATTGCGACACAACTGAGGTCTACATCAGTTACCCATGGATCTTGTGTAATACCCCAGGACATCCTTGGTGTTAGTGAGTCATGCAAATGGCGAGATGACATTCCACTTTCATCCATGCACGTGTCACAACCCAAAGCTTCTCCTTGGATTCGAACCGGGATCTTCCGGTCACCAATCCAGCGTGGTGCCACTGAACGTCCATCTAGGACCCTCCTGCGTGATCCCGGTCAGTTAAGCAGAAGGACGATGGACTCGGTAATCAGAAGATCCCAGCATGAACTTCAGCAATGCTACTGAAAACATCTGAGTTATGATGCATGCATGGCTGAGAGTCGAATACAATCCAGCCCTTCACTCAATTCATTAATTCGTGAAGGCGGCCGGGGAATCAAATGGCCGGATGGAGCATTGTGTACACAATATACGGCGACGATGACCCAAACAATTATTCAATATGTTACACCAATACCTCTTTTCGAGTAATTTCGTACAATACTGATCAAAATGATGAACTGAATCATTTCAAAAAACTGTTTGAAAGCAAGTGTTCTCGAGAACTTGGGTTTCAGAACACCAAACCTCGCCTTCCGGTGGGGGTAAAAGCATTTTCGCAGACTACGCCTTAAGTTTTTTTTGGGGGGGGGGAGAATTCAGCACTACCAACGGCAGCGAAGTTTATAAAAATTCAGCGGCAACGTAGAGGTTTCCATGTTCCATTTCCAAATCCATGGAGGTTTCCCCGGACGGATGTGTTCTATCAAAGCTGCCAGATATCGAACATCAACGGCCTTAAAAAGGGGGCATGAGTGGGTACATGTCACCATGCATTGTCGAAATACGTCACCAGCGAAGGAAACGACATCTTTTAGGGTCACCCAGGTCACGTGCAATAGGCACTGACGTTGCCAGGAGTCACTCCCTTCTAGTGAAGGGCTCCTGCTGACAGGGGTCACTTACGTTCAATGAAGGCGGCCAGGGATGGCGGCAGCATGGCGGCGGCCTTCCCGAGGTCCTCCTCGCTGCAGGTTCCACTGTCCAACCCTGGCCAGCCAGGCAGGTCAGGTCAGGTCAGGTCAGGTCAAGTAGGTCAGGTCCGCTGACCCAGATACATTCGTCTTCCTATGCTCGACAGGTACATTTAGCCTCATTCTAGATTACTGTTTCACCACTTTCATTTGGCACCATTCTACTACTGTCTTATCTATCACTTTTTAGCTTTTTATATCCTTCAGCAACTGATCTTTTTTAAGAAGGGGAGACGCGACGCACGTCGTCGCACACCCCTTTGTGGGGAGCCAGCGACTGCAGCGCCCCTATCAGCACTCGGGGGCAGCGCCGTGAACGGGACTCCACGCGGGAACCGTAGGCGCTAACCGCTCGGCCATTACGCCCCTCAGCATTTTATTGCAATTAACACCCTCAGCAGCTGATTAAAATTACTGTTCCTTTCAAAAGTTGCAGTTCGGCAACCACGTCATTTTGCTCACATAACCGCATCACCGCACGTTCTATCAAAACTGGTTGAACTTTTCTGCCCTTCGGTAAGTTTTCTGCCCTTTCTGAATGCACTACCACATCACCCTTGCACGAACGCGGACAGGGCCTGGTGCTCGCCAACGTTAAACACTTTTTGGGGAATAAGATAGTAACATAACTTTTGGGGGAATAGCTGCCCAACTGCTGCTGTTGGCCTCGCGAAACTTCCAGAGCCTGCTCTTATAATCTTTTTTTTCTACACGCGCTGACAAGAATTAAATGATGTCACCACAGGTCTCGCGTGAGTGACGTCATACTGACGTCACCTACGAATGCAATGGCGGAACGGCGTTTGAAAGCAAACTTCTTCGAACTGCTTTCGAAATTTCCGAATGTCTACGAATAACCCGAGAGGTATGACAGGGACCAGCGCTGGGAACATGGGTGCAAAATTTCAAGTGCATTTTTCCATGAAAGCGCATAGGGAGCAATGATGCCCAAGTCAGGGGTCTGATAGGCATGCAGGCGGCTTGTCCTTCATCAGTTTCTCACTGACGCTATAGGGCAGTACAACCGAATTAGAACGCGTGTTATTACGACTTGTTCCTATCTTGTTTTTAAAGTGACAGTAACGGACTAGGTAAGGACAGAGTAACGCACTATCCTCCGTTACATTTAATGTAATGGCAGAGTGAACTACCTTTCTGAAGTAACAGAGTAACGAGTAACGAAACTACCCTTTTTAGTAACCATCCCCACCTATGCTTATCATATTTGGAACACTTGCTACATATGTCACGGCAATAACGGCGGGCAGAGAAAGAGCGCTGCTGGCAGCGCGAGCGTGGCAGTGGTGTCGTGGGGTTCGAGGCGGGTCCTAAACAGCCCACAGACAGCACCTCAGTCGGGCGCACATCGCCCCCTGCCGACACCATGGTAAGGGTGCAGCACCAATGGCTTACCTAGTGTCATGCCCATCCTCTTCAGCACCTCAATGTCGTCATGTATCTCGAACGTGTCGTTGAAGTTAAAGAGGTATTCCTTCCTGAAACAGATATCACCGCTCATCCACAGGTTGGCGAATATATTTACTAGATGCGCGATGGCGAGTGTGCAAGGAATGCGCTCTAGAACAATAGAGACGCTGGCTTCTTGCGTCTGTTCCGAAACAAAGAATTCAAAACATCAACTCCGGCAGGCGGTCAGCCGGTGCTGATACTTTGAACTGCGAAGTAGTGGTGCGTTTCACGCAGCAATACACCCATTCATTCTCCGACTGGCGACGCATCGGCGTAAGTCTAATGATCCTTAACGAACCTGGCAGCCAGCTGAAATTCACGCCGATCAGTGACGTAACCAACGGCAGGGGACCATAGGGAAATTACCCCTGGGGGCCTAAAGGGTATCAAATGGAGCATATGTGCATGTAGGACTCCAAACTATCTCATTTTGCCAACGGGGTCCTCGGCAGCAGGGGCCCAGGGCAGGTAAGATCTCTGGGAGACAAGAGACCCGTAGTCCTCCAAAGCTTCTGGGCATATTTCGCAAAATGACGGAGAGGGGTGGGGGGGGGGGGGGGGGGGGGAAGGCAGGAAAAACGGTTGAACCTACTCCCACATACACCCCAAAACCCCGGATTTAGCCCACTTTCTTCTTTAAGTTGCCAAATGAAACGGCGGGTTCGGTTTCCGGTTTCCATCCGGTGACACGGCCATCTCAACAAGTAATCCCGGGAGTACAAAAATTAGCGAAAGTTGGCTGCGCCCAACTTCGAAGTCCGGCAGCTCCCATAACTTAACCCGTGCAGGGCCACGCAACGAGCCGGCTCTGTCTGGCGGAGAACAGCTACCATCGGGCCTATCCATACCTGGACCGACCGATTGGACGACAGTACAGTCCGAGCATAAAGCTGTTGGTAACACGTCACAGTCTCCAACAAAACCCGCTCTTCTTCCACTCCGGCTGAGTGCAGTCAAATCGCTACAGCTCTTCAGCGATGCACCTTGCAAGGGGAATATTTATGCCTGCACGCCTGGGTCCGACTAGATGCATGATATCAAGCAGCACAGCTACCCCAGGCTATCCGAGTTATGCGCAACCTATCATGACATGGAGCGAATCTCAACATTTGAGCAACAAAAAATGCATAGATCGCCAGCTACATTTTAGCAGGATGATTGACATTCTTTGCATGCTTGACCTATCAGTCGGAGAGTACGTCGCACACTCACAAATCCTCATTTCCCGAGGGTTTTAGCCGCGGTGATGACACCTGGCGGTGGTAGCTGCAACAGCGCTGCCTCTGTGTCCCGCATCAGCACGACAGCGAAATGGAGTCACTCACTTGTCGCTGGATATGCTGCAGTCGATCACCGTCTTCTTCTTGGTGTTGACCACGAGGAACGGCAGCTGCACGGACGAGCCGGCCTCGGGCGGGCCTTCAGTCTCCTCCAGCTGCCGCAGGGATACCGTACAGTGACGTCAGTGTGACGTCAGTGTGACGAGCTACAGGTCCGCAGCCTCTGGATCGCTGGTTCTACCCTCTCCCCCATGTCTGGTGATCCGATGTAACGATGATGACGATGAACGTGACGACATTACATGGCGCCTGGCCATGCACTTCCCACAACTCTGTCATAAGTGCTTTTTTTACGCCCCACATTTGTATGAAGCATTATTGCATACTACGACACGGTAATGTTCCTATGACCTGTGAGTGTTTCAGTTGCCAACAACACAAGGATAAAGGCACTGCCGTTCCGCCACGAAAGCCCATCGCTCAAACACTGCACGCTAAAGAAGCAGAGCATGGCAAGCTGGTTAGCAAGCTCTTGATGACCGTTCGGGAGCCCGATATGTTGGACGCCCAGAGAGCTGGTCGATGTCCAACGACGGGAGGAAAACTGCGGAGGATCTTTTTAATCATTGCTGGCAAACGTGTAGCTACTTACACCATCACTGAGCTGCACGGCACGCCACAAACACACCGCCATCATAATGCACCTGGATTAACTCAGAAACACACAGCCAGACACTCGCGCCATCCGCTCGGAAGGCGCGGGCCCGCTACACAAACGGGCGCAGTTGTTACAGCAGTCCCATCAGCGTTCACGGCATGCTCATCACCGCAGTCCGCCAACATGCAATGACATCGCCACCGCGAACCGATACTCGCTAATATACTCTGTAATATTCTGTAATTACGATACTCTGTAATTCGCTGACGCTTGTCAGACGCGCCCGTGAATAACAGAACAGGACTGGGACGAGCCCGGGCCGGCGGACCGGGTCTACAACTGGCTGAGTAAGCACAACGACGGAAGCTGTACCCTTCCGTACCGTCAGTAACATGACGTCACGATTAACCTGCGTCACGAACGTGCACCAAAACGACGTGACAATGCAATGGTCCGTGGAGCCGTATCAGCTGTCGCCGGTGACCACAAATGCTGATCTCGTGCTGCCGTCACATCTCTTTCATGATCGGGCCAAGTTCAACTACCAAACACAGAACATGTTGATCAAGCCAGCCGCGTCGCCGTTGCCCTGGCGCGCGCACAGTCTCACGACCCCTGCCCTGGGGCCCGTGTGATGTGGTCGGCTCCAGCAGCCTCCTATCGTCGGCGGCGCTGGAAGGCACAAGAAAATGAGAAACACGATAGAAAAACGAAGAAACACTAGAAAACACGATACGGCAATAGAGCAGCTTACCGCCTTATTGCGTTCCACCAGATTCTTGAAGGCAATCTGGCGCAGCACGAGATCCTTGAGCTGCTGGGTTTTCTCACTGATTCGCTGTCGGCAATCTGCTTTCTCCTGCTCCAAGTCTGGCGAGTCCTGCAACGGAGGCCAATCGGCGTCCCAGTCCAGCCGGGCGAGCGGGGAAGAGTGGCTGGCACCCGGCGCATCCTAGCAGAGCGGGGCAGAGTGGGCGGCACCCGGCGCATCCCAGCAGAGCGGGGAAGAGTGGCCGGCACCCAGCGCGTCCCAGCAGAGCGGGGAAGAGTGGCCGGCACCCAGTGTGTCCCAGCAGAGCGGGGGAGATTGGCCGGCACCCAGTGTGTCCCAGCAGAGCAGGGAAGATTGGCCGGCACCCAGCACGTCCCAGCAGGGTGGGGAAGATTGGCCGGCACCCAGTGTGTCCCAGGAGAGCGGGGAAGATTGGCCGGCACCCAGCGCGTCCCAGGACAGCGGGGAAGAGTGGCCGGCATCCAGTGTGTCCCAGCGGAGCGAGGAAGAGTGGCCGGGACCCAGCGCGTCCCAGCAGAGCGGGGAAGAGTGGCCGGCACCCAGCGCGTCCCAGCGGAGCGAGGAAGAGTGGTCGGCACCCAGCGCGTACCAGGAGAGCGAGGAAGAGTGGCCGGCACCCAGCGCGTCCTAGCAGAGCGGGGAAGAGTGGCCGGCACCCAGTGTATCCGAGCAGTGGGCTAGAACACGGCACCACAACTGCCGTACAGCGCATAGTCACATATGCCGTCCGGGCTCGCGATCCTGGAGTCGGGCTCCGATTGATGAATCGGGCTTCAGAGCGTGCTGACTGCCATGGTCGTATGGCGCCCATAGGGGGGAACGACGACACTTAGTGTGTGGATAATCCAGAGACCCGTGGCCCGCCGGATAAGCTCTGGCGACAGAGCAACACGCGCGAGCGCGTCAATTAAACACACGGGCCAACACGAGACGTGTCAAACGCACGAGGTAGACGGTCCCGCTCGGTGATCTCCCCCAGGGAGTGAGCCGGCTCGGTGATCCCTGCCCGGGAGAGGGCCGCTCGGTGGTCCCTGCCCGGGAATGAGCTGGCTCGGTGATCCCTGCCCGGGAGTGAGCCGGCTCGGTGGTCCCTGCCCGGGAGTGAGCCGGCTCGGTGATCCCTGCCCGGGAGAGGGCCGCTCGGTGGTCCCTGCCCGGGAATGAGCTGGCTCGGTGATCCCTGCCCGGGAGAGGGCCGGCTCGGTGGTCCCTGCCCGGGAATGAGCCGGCTCGGTGATCCCTGCCCGGGAGAGGGCCGGCTCGGTGGTCCCTGCCCGGGAGAGGGCCGGCTCGGTGGTCCCTGCCCGGGAATGAGCCGGCTCGGTGATCCCTGCCCGGGAGAGGGCCGGCTCGGTGGTCCCTGCCCGGGAGAGGGCCGGCTCGGTGGTCCCTGCCCGGGAATGAGCCGGCTCGGTGATCCCTGCCCGGGAGAGGGCCGGCTCGGTGGTCCCTGCCCGGGAGTGAGCCGGCTCAGTGGTCTCTGCCCAGAAGAGGGCTGCTCGGTGGTTCCTGCCCGGGAGAGAGCCACTCGGTGATCCCTCCCAGGGGGTAGGCCGGCTCGGTGACCCCTGCCCGGAAGAGCCGCTCGGTGATCCCTGCCCGGGAGTGAGCCGGCTCGGTGGTCCCTGCCCGGGAGTGAGCCGGCTCGGTGGTCCCTGCCCGGGAGTGAGCCGGCTCGGTGGTCCCTGCCCGGGAGTGAGCCGGCTCGGTGGTCCCTGCCCGGGAGTGAGCCGGCTCGGTGATCCCTGCCAGGGATCACCGGCCGCTCGGTGATCCCTCCCAGGAAGTAGGTCGGCTCGGTGGTCTCTGCCCGGGAGAGGGCCGGCTCGGTGGTCTCTGCCCGGGAGAGGGCCGACTCGGTGGTCTCTGCCCGGGAGAGGGCCGGCTCGGTGGTCCCTGCCCGGGAGAGGGCCGGCTCGGTGGTCTCTGCCCGGGAGAGGGCCGGCTCGGTGGTCCCTGCCCGGGAGTGAGCCGGGTCGGTGGTCTCTGCCCGGGAGAGGGCCGGCTCGGTGGTCCCTGCCCGGGAGAGGGCCGGCTCGGTGGTCTCTGCCCGGGAGAGGGCCGCTCGGTGATCCCTCCCAGGAAGTAGGTCGGCTCGGTGGTCTCTGCCCGGGAGAGGGCCGGCTCGGTGGTCCCTGCCCGGGAGTGAGCCGGCTCGGTGGTCTCTGCCCGGGAGAGGGCCGGCTCGGTGGTCTCTGCCCGGGAGAGGGCCGGCTCGGTGGTCTCTGCCCGGGAGAGGGCCGGCTCGGTGGTCCCTGGCCCGCCACAACGCCTCACCTCGGCCGGCGGCGCCGCCAGCCCCAGCCACTGGATCCGCTTGCGCTCCTTGCTAATGATCTGCATGGCCATGAGCACGTTGAGCGCGTCGTACACGCGACGGCGGATGTTCTTCTGCTCGTACTGCTGGTCCGGCGACGCGGCGGCGCCGGGCGGACACAGCTCAGCCACCAGCTCGTCGGCCACCTGCCAGCCGGGGCGAGAACCACACACTGACGTCCAGCGTTAAGCGGCGCCCCCCGAACACGGCAGGCACTGGACAGACGGCGGCGGCGGCGGCGCAGCGATGTGAAGAAGCAGTTGGAACATAACGGGGCAGCTGACCTGACCTGGTGCCTGCCGGCCAGCTGGGAGGGCTGCAGCGTCGTCTGTCACGGGACGCTGCAGCCCTCTCAGCCGGCCGGTGCCGAGGTCGATGGCTGGGCGGTCGCGGCCGGACTGAGGCGTGGCGGCATTCAGGTACACCCGGGCGTGTGCTAACCAAGAGATCGCCCAGGTGGTGACCCACAGACCGCCCAGGCGGTGAGCCAGAGACGGCCCAGGTGGTGAGTCAGAGACTACTAGGGTGGTGACCCAGAGACTGCCCAGGTGGTTGCCCAGGCAGCACAGGGCAGCCAATGGGGGGCAGTAGGGAGAGACGGACCGGCGCCGCCTGCCGAGGGCGCACCTCGCACAGGCGAGCCGCGCTGAGCCGGGCAGGCGAGGCGACTACACGGGCGACGGAGAGCCGGCAGCCTACCGACCCTGCGCATGACCTCCCTACGCTGGAGCGGGTATCATGACCTCATCCAGCGGCCGCCTCTTCTGGTGGGACGGCGGGCAGCCAGCGGGGCAGGGTGCTCGGGCTCCGACGCCGGCTGGACAGCCGCGTCCAACAGAGAGTCGGCGGGGCAGGGTGCTCGGGCTCCGACGCCGGCTGGACGGCCGCGTCCAGCAAAGAGTCGGCGGGGGAGAGTGCTCGGGCTCCGACGCCGGCTGGACGGCCGCGTCCAGCAAAGAGTCCGCGGGGGAGAGTGCTCGGGCTCCGACGCCGGCTGGACGGCCGCGTCCAGCAAAGAGTCCGCGGGGGAGAGTGCTCGGGCTCCGACGCCGGCTGGACGGCCGCGTCCAGCAAAGAGTCCGCGGGGGAGAGTGCTCGGGCTCCGACGCCGGCTGGACGGCCGCGTCCAGCAAAGAGTCCGCGCCCGCAGGCGACTCGCGCCGACCAGGCCCGGCTGAAGACAGGCACGCGGGGGGCGTACAGGGAGACACGCACCTCGTTGTAGGTGGTGGTGCCCTTGGCGCGCACTTTCTGGCACACCTTCATGGAGAAATGTCGCAGGCCCTTGGCGTTGCGCTCGTATCGGCGCCGCTTGCTGCCAAGTGGAACAGTTAAATTATCATCTTGAAGTGCGGCCGGCCAGCAGCGGCTGCCAAGTGCGCAATGAGAGGAGTCACGCATCAGGATCATTTCAGTGAAGCAGCCTTAGACGAAACAAGAAAGTGACAAGGAGCGCTTTGGTATTGACGCATTCCCTTCACCAGATACAAAGCTGAGCATATCCATCCGACATTCAATGCTGAACTATGCATGAAACAACACCGTTTAACAAAAAAAGAGAAAATCACACGTGCAACAGTGTGCGCGACCACGGGACTGCGGCTCCAGCCGGCCCTCTCCGCGGGTGCCCCCCCCCCCCACGGGAGACCCACCTGTCTGACCACAGCTGAGGCGGGTCGGCGGCGCGTTTGACCGAGCGTCCGCGGCCAGGACTGAGTTCGGGCGTCCATGGAGACGACGCGCCCCGGCCGGGCGGGCTTCCCTGCCGGCGCCGGCAGCGGAGCTGCGTCAAACAACACTGCGACGCGCTCCGGCCAGGCCAGCTTCTCTGCCGACGCCGGCGGCGGCGCTGCGTTAAACAACACTACGACGCGCCCAGCCAGGCCAGCTTCTCTACCGACGCCGGCGGCGGCGACGGCGCGTCACATGATCCTGCGGCACGCCCGCCGCACGCGCCCCCGTCACCCTCCCCCGCCAGAGGCGCGCCGACCAGCTCGCGCCGCAGGTCTCCTTTCGTTGCGGGAAGAACACATGCTAGGACGTCAGTGTACCGATACGACCGGGCTGTGGTAACGCAGCTGGCCGTTGCCCTCAAGCGCTGCTGCAAAAGCACTGAGCGTGTGGCTGTCGAGCATTTTCTGTCCAGCATTTTATCTGCGTCTTTCATGAAATTAACATAGCCGGTCGCGTGGTACGCGTGACGCTCATCAGCGCTGTCGGCCGGGCCGTCACGGCGCCACCACGGCAGGCAGCGAGCCTCGCGGACCGCTGCCGGCGTCTCCGCCCGGCCAGCCCCACACGCAGCGTCGCGTCAGGTCACGTCCCGTCACGGTACGTCACGGCACGGCACAGCACGTCCACCACCACAATCACCGGCGACGTGCCGCGCACAACGGCGATCCAACCGCCGCGCTCGAACGCGCTCCCCGGGGAGTCCACCTCCCGACGGCCTGGGTCCGAACAGACAGTCCGCCCGGGTCTGGCGCTGGGCCGATCGCGCCGGCGCGTGGACAGAGCGCCGCGGCAGCTTTTCGGCTCCGAGCGACTCGATTTGCCGGATCCCCGGCCCGAAGGTCGGCGTGAGGCGAGCCGCACCGAGCATCCACCGACGGATCGACGCTGGCCGACGCTGGCCGGCGCTGTCCCGGCGTGGGTTCGAACGCACCGCACGCGTCACACCGCCCCATGCCCGCCGTTGAAGGTCGGCGGAGGCGGGCACATTGGGACATCTCCGGGATATACAAGTGAGGCGAGGACAGGCAGTCGCGCGCGCGGCCGCGGCGCGCTGCTGCTTACCGCTGGCGACGGTCGGTCGGCCGCGCTCTCCGCCTCCGGAGTGTGGCCGCGCCCGCCCCGGCCTGGGGACACAGCGTTGCGTGTCACGCGTCACGTCACGAGCGCCCGGCCACAGAGCAGGCGCCGCTCTCGCGCAGCCGGACTCGAGTGCATCGCCGCTCAGCGCACACCATTCCTGGCGCTCCTGGGAGCTGAGCAAGCGCTCCTGTCTCTCCGGCCCCGGCGGCAACCTCACGCTAAAGAACTGGGGTCGTTGCACGTTCTGCGCGTTCTGGTTACATCTGCTTCCTCTAGCTGCTCAGAAACCCACAGGGCCTCTTCCTTCGTGCCATCAACTTTTGCTGCGCCTAGTGTCCCTTGGTTATCTACGGGGCGCATAGTCCTCTGCCTGCTTGCCGTCTATGTCAAATTAGTTCCCTGTCGGCTGCTCGGTCTGCCAAGACCCAGGCAACACATGGACCTGTTGGCCCTCCTTCCACGCCCCAAAGCTAAAAATGACTGGCTCGTCAAGCTTCGGGAAAGCCGCAGACGGGCTTTCCAGCGTGCCATCAGCACGGGTACCTGCGCTTGATGGGCGCCTAGTCTGCAAGGGAAGCGTGCAGTCTATACAAGACAGGGCGACGCACGGCCTGACATGAAATGAGGGAGTCAGTCGACTCCGCGACGTAAGCTGGACGCAGCTCCACAACCTGACAAACAATGGGGTACTGATGAGTGCCCGGGGTACTGATGGGGTGCTGAAAAGTGCCCGGGGTACTGATGACTGGTACCCCGGGCCCTGGTGCGCGCGGCGCATGTCTTCCTCCACAGCGGCGTGGTGACTGCCCACCTAATCACCTGACAGAAATTGTTTAGCTTGACTGACTGGTAAGGGACATGACAGCCAGCTGGTATGGCAGCCGAGCTGGAGGCAGAACCTTACTATATCATCAGAGATATGACATACCTTGCATCTGTGAATGGGAGCCTGGAGAGCCAACATCCAGAGTCGCCGAATTTGTCTGCAACGAGAGGAAACTGATAAACTTCCACATTAAGTGCCTTGACATGATTCTAAAGCATTTTAACACATGGCAGTGCTTTCTGAAACGACACCTGCGCTACACAGCCCGCTCCGCTCACAAGCCACTGCGTCGAAAACATCCCATTTGTAAAAATTGTAAGCACCTGTTATGAACAGCACTCAGTCGGCAATGTCTGAATATTGCAAATGACAACTGAAATCACCAACAAGCATCAAACTGCGAGTTACCCCTCAGTATCCAGTATCCAGCCGTCCGCTTCGGATCACACAGGATGCAGCATCGCCTTCTACACACCCCATGCCACACCACGTGCCAAGAACACATCCCATGCACATACCATCGCCGAGCAGTGTTCACAACGCTCGGTTATCATGTCGTCCCTCCTCCCACACCCACCCCAAAACATGGCCACATGCTTTAATAGCCGGAGACTGCCGTACACAGCCGTCCCTCATGGCAACATGCCTAACAGACCACGGGTCCACCCTGACCCCAGGCACGGCAGCTGGGCCGGGACGGGGTCTCGCCGAGGTTACGCTGACACTGCGCCAGGCCGGGACGGGGTCTCGCCGAGGTTACACTGACACTGCGCGAGGCCGGCAGGGGCCTCGCCGAGGTTATACTGACGCTGCGCGAGGCCGGCAGGGGTCTCGCCGGGGTTATACTGACACTGCGCGAGGCCGGCTGGGGCTGCAGCTTGCGGTGGAGCACCAGCGTGGCCGGAGAGCGGGCGGCGGCCGTGGACACGCCGGCGACGAGCCGTATGCTGGCGGCAGTTCCCGGCGCCGTCACGACCGGCTGGCTCACAGCGGCCGACACGCGGATGACGGGCCCGGCTGCGGACGGCGTGCTCGTGGCAGCAGGCTGAGCGGCCGGAGCGGAGGTGAAGGTGGTAGGCTGGGCTCCAGTGCTGGGGGCGTGGACGACAGCTCGCACCACTGCTGGGAGTGATGACTGGCCAGTGGTCTTGCCTTTGGTAGGTGTGACTTGCAGCACCCGTACCATTTGGTGGATGCCTGGAGGCAGAATGTGAGTGGTGTGATACATTGCCCACACAGGTGATTTCTGAAGGGGGACTAAGGTGTCTGTGGTGATCTAAAACTTCACACAAATGTGAATGACAAAATGAGCATTTTTAAGACATGATGAAACTTCTGTGAGACAACATACAGAAATAAGAACATATATAAGCACTTAAGAAGCACTAATAAGCACTTAAGAAGCAAATGATGCAGCATACCAGTGGACAAGCAAAAAGTTAACTATACCATCAGGATCACTCTACCTCTTGCTCATGTATGCCTTGGTCAAATATGGTCAAGTTCTTTCACAAAAGAATGCCATTCAAATAATGCCTGTGATTACCTGAGCACATCCAAACAGGGCTGCTCTAAACATTTAAACAGCATCTACAAGTGGAATTTCTCCCATCTGATATGTTCTACTGCACCATCACCTGACATACAATTGCCTGCTTACCATTTGTGTTTTGGATCCAAACAGTGCCAAATTCCTGCTTACTAGCACCCTCCTTCATAGATGCATTTTGTCTGTGCATTATCTCATTGGCACATCAAGCCCCAGGACCTGAAAAAGGTAGGAAGACAGTACAACACAATGGTGGTCCAACAGTGCAATGCAATGCAGCTCAACACTGTCAAAGCAAAGATAGCACACACTGCACACATAGCACACACTGATAGGACAATTAGACAATCATGGCAGATGTCAACACATGTTAGCACTACAAATAATCTGCAAGAATAATACAAGACAACATGAGCAAAACACCAAGACACAAGGTTAAGTCATGAGTTGTGGTGGGGGCATAGACAGTAAAACATAACCAAATATGCCCACTAAAACATAACCAAAATGACTACTCTATAGGTTTTGTTCACTTTTTCAGAGTTGTAGGGCTGGAGTTAAATGTGTGCATATGGAGGGTGAGGGGTCGCATTCCCCAGATGCACAGAAAACTACGACTCTGCAAGTCTCGCAAGAAACAGCTCCCTCTCCATGACCGTAACACGCAGTCCGGAACTTTACAGCGGGTGGTTACCCCACAGGTATCTCAAGTTCTGCCCGGTTTGAATACTTTGAAAAAAGTTTCGCAAGGATGCTCCCATCAAGACAACAATTCCAGCTCAACTATTTGATTAAAGCATTAGTTGAATTCATTTTCACGCACCTGACCCCACTTCACCACTATAAACACCACACACAGCCGCGTCTCGGGATTGAATTGCCGTTGCCGCCACATTCCGTGCTGATACACTGTATTTTTGTCACAAATGAGCCAGAATTGTGGAAGTTAGTGCCAACTACCGTAAGTTGGTGCACTGCCAGAAGACGCTCTTCAAAGTTCATCAACAACGCAATGCGCCAAAAATTACGCGCGCTTGTAGCAATATGTAGTGTCAAATAAGTTAAGAAGCTCCCCCTTGGCTGCACCCCAAGCCCCCCTCGAGGATAACTCTTGAAACAGTAAAAAATATGCTTTACGGTTACGGAGACATGGGACTGTGACGATATGCAAGTAACCTTTCAAACCTTGGGCAATGTTCACGTCCCTCTAGATCTGATATGTCACCGACTAAAATACCTAGATTGGCTACGCTGGCGGCCGGCCCTCACTGGCCTTGTCCGGTGCCTGGTAGCCTATTTTCGAATAAATATGCCAGCACCACCCGTTGGTCAACGACATGACAACATTTTGGCGACACAACAGGATACGGTAGGCGCCTCGCTCGGTTAGCGGCTCTGGTTGAACAACGTCTGTCAAGTCAACACATCCTCGATAATATTTACTACGAAGCATGGCTGCGAGGAGTACGGTGTTTAGTACCGATTTGTGCTAAAAGTGGCTGAGTTTAGTACACATAGATACTAAGCGGAGCAGCCCGGTAACCGGAGGCTGAACAGAGGAAAAGAGGCTGTTAAAAACGTCCGTCAAGTTGGCACCACATTCACATTCAGATTCAGGTCCATTCATGCCTTATATATACAACACCTTAGCGGCCTTGGCATTTGAAAAGCTATAACTTTTCTGATACAGCGTACCGATCTAAAATTGTGTGTGTATCCTAATCACAAGTTTAATATATACCAGCACACCGACTTGGGAAAGAACTGAAGGAGTCCGCACTTTTTATTGTGATCTTTCATATTGCTATATCTCCGGTAATAGGGCGTACTGATCCAAGATTTTGTGCTCATTCCGCTCAGGAGATTAAACTGCATATACGGATAAGATTTTAAGTCACTATGAGAAATCCGCTGAATATCGAGTATGAAAGTGAGCCAAGTATGGTCAAATACAATATGTACTGCACTCGCGACCTTGACATTAGAACAGCTACAAATTTTTTGACACGCGGTACGTGTCCAAGATTTTGTTATCATTATCAGGAGGTCAATATCTACGAGCATGCGGAGTTTAGAAAGAACTGAAGAAGTTCGCCTTTTTTATCGTGATCTTTCATATTGATATATCTCCGTTAATAGGGCGTACCGGTCCGAGATTTTGTAGTCATTGTACTCAGGAGATTAAACTACATCTGTACACGAAGTTTCAGGCAAATTTAAGGAGTACGCTGAATCTCGAATATGGACCTGAATCTGATGTGAATACGTTCGTCAAGAATGTGTTGCCAACTTGACGGAAATCAGTCACAGACCGACGTCCGCCGAGGGTCTGGTGTTGACTAGTAGTTACCGTAATTATCGTAGTTGGAAGATAGGATACGATAGAAAGGAATAAGGTCGGTTTTATGCGCCCAGTGCTTGTACAAACGGTTTTTGAATGTGTGGTGCTGGCATTTGTAGCGATCTCAGCGGGCAGGCTATTCCATCCGTTTACCACACACAAAATGTTTTACCTCAATGAAGGCATTTAAATGTTTACTTTTTGGGTTGAATCGGCGTTCTCGAGTACCACGCTCCCCATGTCTGGTGGGAACAATTCATCAGGGCTGATTCTCAGCTTGCCTGTGGATATCTGGTACACCATGAACA